GGCAGGCATTGTGGTGTGCCTTGCACTTCTTTCGAACATGACTGGCATTTGCTTTGCCCCAGGCTGATGGTGCGGCGGGGACTGGGGGTGCCTGGATGGGCTCTGTGACCAGGTGCGTTAGGAGCCCAGTGCTGGCCTGGCTGGTGTTTTATCTCAGCAAAGCCTCCTGCGACAGCTGCTGCCTGCCCGGCTGTGACCCCTGTCACAGAGTTAAGGTGAGCCTGTCCTGTACCCCTGGGGACCCCAGTACTTCTTGGTTCCTGCAGTTCCCAGAGCTGTGTCGTGTGCTCTCCTGGCCGGAGAGGCTGTGATTGCGGGTGGTGTAAAACCACCCTGTGCTCTGGGCAGAGCCACCAGCGCCTGAGCCAAGTAGAGCCTCTAGCAGCTGACGGATGGCAGGGAATACTCTGCGTGCCAGCAGGCATGCCGCGCAAGTGAAGGCAGCTCGGTGGGAGGTGCAGCTGCAGGGGCTGCTCCTGAGAAAGCACCTGTGTGTCTGTGGGAGGCAGCGTGGGATTTGCACGGGATCCTGTGTGCCAGAGCCCCAGCATGGCTGGGCCTCACATGAAATGCCGTTTGTGTTTGCAGTGCCAGTATCTGTTCCGATATTACATTTCTGCGGCCCACCATCTTCTGTGGTTCATCAAAGGGGTGATCAAAGGGTGCTGGTGTCGGGGCCCTGGCGGGTTATCAGTGCTCTGTTACCACGCCAGCGCGCTCCAGCCACGCGAGCCACAGACAGCAAGGTGCAGCCGCTGGGGGACGGTGATGGGGTGCCCCAGTCCCGGGGCTGGGGCTGCTGCCCTGCAAGGGCGGTGCGCGGGGAGAGCGCTGTTGCCCTCCCACAGGAGTTTCCCGAGCAGAGGCACCTCTGCGGCCGCCGCAGCCCTGCGGCTCCTCCCCGTCCCTGCATCTCCCCAGTGCTACAGCTGCTGCGAGGCAGAACAGTTCTTCTGCTACCATTTGGGCCTCACCTGGAGCTTTTCTGGTGTTTATCTCTACAAGGTGTTTATCACCAAGGTGCCTTTCCTTGAGGCAGACTAACAACTCACCCCCGTGAGCTTTTCCTGTGACCTGAGTCTAATTTACCTGTCAAAGTTTTCATTTCCTCCATAGAGCCATGAACCATTCCCCTGCCCTTTCCATAGACACAGATCCTAACCTCCTAGCAAAGCTGCTCCTGTGCAGCCTTCTCTTCCTCTTCATCTTCCTCTTCATCTCCTCCTCACCTGAGCTGCTCTGCCACAGTCATTATTTTTGCTTGTTATTTGCTGAATTCCCTCTGTAATAGAAGAAGACCAAGCTATTCTTTTTTGGCGTCTGGTAACAAATTTATTTGGAAGAAGACGATAGCTCGTTCCCTCAGTGACAGCATGAATCGCTGTGCGTGTTACACCCGGAGGCAGTGTCAGAGCTCAGCATCGGTGAACCCCACCAGGTATACGCTGGACAATGAGGACTTCATCCCTTCACAGCTCCAGACCACACCATCCCCGATGCACTCAGATCGCATGAGGTCACTTCTGTGTTCATCTGCTCCTGCCCTGCTCCTCTGGCTTTCCTTCCCCGTGAAGCCTTGGATTATTTTCCCCAAAGTATGTGAACATCATTTTGGCTTTCCTTTTCCAGATCTCTGTTATTCCTACATTTTCCTCTGCCACTTTCCCATGATCTATACATTTTATTAAACTGCTGTTTCCTCCTCTCTCAGCATCACTTCCCTTAACCTGCCCAAGAGTTCAGAGGGTGTTTCTAAGCGTAGGTCCTTCTGTGCTAAATCCTCTGCAACACAAAGAGCTGTCCTTCCCCTCTGGGCTGTTTGACTCCAGGTCCAGCAGGGACCCCTGTGTGTACACAGGGAGGGACGGGCCAGAGCTGGACGGTTTTGCACCACCACCGTTGCTGCTGCTCTGCCGGACTGTGCCGCTGCACATGCAGTTATGCCAGGCTGCACCGCCTCTGCCTGCACCGGTGCTTTGCAGTTACTCCCAGCTCCCCCAACCTGCACGTGTGGACAGGCTGCAGCTGCCCACACACCAGCTGTTTTGCACATCTGGGCATTTCTTTGAAGATGCGTGACTGCGCCCAGCTCGCAGCTCCATGCTGCCTGCATATCGATGTGAATCCTCCCCTCTGCAGCCCCTTCAAAATGTGCCCCGAGTGCCCGCGGATCATGCCAGAACAGCGTGCCTGTGGGCCGTGTCAGTCGCTGAGGAAATCAGGGCTGAGAACGGGCCGTGTCCAAGGATGGCGGTTTGGGTGTCCGGCTGCCCGGACGGACAGCCTGCACGGCCCCAGCCGCTGACTCGCCTCTGCAGCAGCGCTGCTGCTTTGTTCCTTTCTCGGTTCCTGCGTTGAGCGTGGAAATACATAATAAAATGTTGCGGAAGTCGACCATGTTGAAGGCTGATGCTTGAGCGTCAGCCTCTCTGCGGAGCAGGAGGTGGCAGGGCTGTGCAGAGCTGGCCTCTGCTCAGGCTGAGCCCAGGGCTGAAATCATGACAGCCCAGGGCCCCTCCTGCAGCTGTGGTTTCGGCACATCAGCTAGCGTGGCAATGCCACCACAGGCCCCCTGATGCATGTACGTGTTTCCTGATACGCGACTCCCACCTCCAGATGCACATGCATCTCCCTCTGCTTAGGGACCTAGACATAGCCGGTCCCCCTTACCACCGCTCTGTGAAGCTAAGACCTTGCCATGCCCCTGAAAGATGCTCACGTGGAGCGCGCAAAGCCTCCCGACTATGTCAGTGCCGGCTGGTTTGTTTACAGAGAAGCTGTTTCGTGCTGTGGTGGGGCTGAGCCTCGAGCCTCGTGGCAGAAGCTGGTGCCCACAACCAGTCTGCCTGCATACCTGCTACTGCTCCCGTCCGCCAGCCCCCTCGGTCCTGCTGGCAGCCTCCTGGGGTGACCCTCCTTGAGAAGGCTCCTCCTTTTCTGCTCTGACCCCCTTGTATTCCCGGCTCCACGTGCCAGATGCATTCCCCCCCAGGCGAACTGCCAGGCTTGCACTGGAGCTGCTGGAGAGGGGGGAGAGGGGCTGCCCCGGGCCCCGGGCCCCTGCACACCCGAAAAACAGACACGTCTGCTCGGTTAAAGAGTAAACGGGTGGGCCTCCCAGCAGGGTCAAAGTAGACAAGCAACCCACCACTAGCTATTGAGGGACAAGAGTGAGCGAGATCCTGGATAAATAAGCCTGGGCAGTTGTATTTTTCATCTAAGACATCACTGAGACCAAAAGTAAAATACTGGATCTAGCACAAGTTCATGTGATTGCAAAGCATATTGAAAAGCCCAGAAAATACCCCGCAAAAGACAATCGAAATGCATTTTCCCACCTCTCAGATTTGTCTCCTATCATCTTACCGAAAGATGTTAAAAATTTCCAAAAATTACAGCATATACTGTATTGTTACAGGTAGCTGTTAAGATGAGCCCAGAAGGCAAAACATGAGGCAGTGACTGCAAAAGTAAGGCTCAGTTTAGAAATACGACATTTAAGAGCGAAAACTGGCTGACCACTGAAACAAACCAGCAGGTTCTCATCCTCCCCATGGCTTCAAACCATGTTCCCTCTCTGGAAGGTGCTTTAAGTTCCCAGCCTGTTTCACACATCCAACACCTGAGCCAGCCATCCCCTTTGGTTTACATTCTCTGACGGGTATTATTTACTTTTGTACACCCTGTGCTCTATAAATATCTTAATAAGTAGGTAAATAAAAAGGCAGTTTGCAGTGAAACAGAGGTTTGAAGGAGATGGGGGAATGAGCCATGTGGCAGGACTGCAGGAAATGCCATCCCTGTGATGATACTTCATGCTCTGGAGCGTGATGGAGGGATTCCCGGGCTATCGGGGACGGTAACAACTGGGCTGTGCCCTGAGAAATTTTCCCAGCCGGACAGTACCAGCCTTGTGAATCACTTTCTAAGGGTGAATGCTGCTGCTGCTCCCTGCTTTTAACTCCAGTGTGACCCACGTGGGCACGACCGGCTACAGCAGAAACAACGTGGAGTTACCTACGTCTCACGTGCTCGTACCACAAAGATGACAGGAATGCAAAAATTACAGTGTTCGTATAACTCCACGGTCAGAGATACAGACAGGAGTCTATAATGGGTGCCGGGGGACAGGGCTGCCTCGCCCGGGCGCACGTGCCTGCCTGACGCCACAACTGGTGCCGCCGACAAGTTTGCTCAGCTCTGCAGAGCTGGCATGGGAAAGGTACGTGCCTTTCTAGCACGTCTTGCTGGAGAGGGAAGAGAGAAAAATGGGAAGGAACACAGCAGGAAGCAACGCTGGAGAGACGTGCGCAGAAACCCTCTGACAACGCACCAGGGCTGCCTGCCCCAGCTCTGGCAACAGGTTTGTTTGCACAACAGCAGTCGTGCCATGGACCTGTTCTCTCACCGGCGCAGTCCACGAGGAATGTATTTATGGTCGTTGAAAGCACATGCAAAAAAAGCCGCACCCCAGCTGTGGGGCTGGGGGTGTCCTCCCGGCACCGCCGCTGGGAGAGCCCCAACAAACCACCGCAGGCAGAGACAGGTTTAAATCATGCTTTAATCACACCCTGGAGTGACAACACATTGAGGGACAGAGGAGTGCTGGGACCAGCACTGTGGGGCAGTGGGGCCGGTGCCTGAGACCCCACAGGGAGCACCAGGGCAGGCTCCTCTTCCCACCCCACCAGGCTGCCCGGGCATGACAGGCACCATCTCCTTCATCTTCAGCATCCGAGCAGGGCTGGGAGAGCAGCAGTGGGTCCAGAGTCCCTGTGCCGGTGCAGCCCCACTGGCACCGCGCTGGGACACCATGGGGCCCACTTCCTTCAGCCTCCATCACCATTCCTGGCCCACCCCTTCTTCCTGCTCCTCTCCACTCCTTTCCCCCTGCCCCCAGCCACGTGGGCCCGAAGGCCAAGGGCAGGTGAGAAAGAGCAGGAAGAGGATGGAGGTGGGGGACAGCGAGAGGCTGCAGCAGTGGTGGCCGGGCTGCAGACTCAGATGGAGAGGTGTGACTCCCGCTCCTCTTCCTCCGGCAGCTGTTCACTTGGCTGGATGTAGTTGTCCTCGATGAAGCCATCATCATCCTCAGCTTGCAGGTCGGCAGCACTGGGGTGGCTTTTGCTGGCCCCCCGGCCTGAGAAGCCCCTGTCCCAGCCACTGCCATCCTCCATGGGGTTGCCTCCGATCGAGCTGGTTTCGGGCAGTGGCCGGTGGCGGTAGCTGGCGAAGTTCTTGTGGAAGAGCTTGCACTTGGCAGCCAGCGCGATCAGGATGGAGATGCCAATTGCTGCCACCAGGAAGCCCACCAGGTACGGCCAACTCCTTCCCCCCTTCCCGGAGGGCGATGTGGTGGCTGCGGCGCAGGAAAGGCACATCAGGGCACGCCGGGTCAGCCTGTGGCATACCTGGGGCTCCTCAGCAGCCAGCCCCATGCATGCCTGCGACGCGCAGCCAGCACCGGATCGCTTTCGTTAAGAGCAATACAAGCGCTCTTCACCAAGGCCTAGCTACCACGGGTGCGTGAACACTGCAGGGGAAACTGCCGGACAGTTGTCTGATACTGGTGCCCATCACCTGGGCTCTGTGGCATCTGCTAACTTTTCTGTGGCAAAGCCAGCAAACACCTCCAGGTGGTGGCCACTCTCCCCACCGAGCCACAGCACCCGTGGTGGCTGGGCAGCCCAAGCCCCTGGGACAGTTGGGCAGAGCAGGGGGTCTCCACCCGTGGTTCCCTCTGGGGTGATGGAAGGCAGGAGGGAGCTAGACCTTACAGACGCGCCCGTAGCAGCCCAACTTACTGTTGCTGTGGGGCACTGTGATCTGCTGCGCCGTGCTGACCCCCCGAGGAAACCGCTGCTTCATCCGGCAGCCCAGGTCCTGGGAATGCAGAGCTGCGACCTCCCGGCCCTGCAGCCCTGGGGGCGATGCGCAGGTCACCTGCACAGCTGGGAGACACATGGGCTAAGGTGGGACGGAGGGTCTTCATCCATCCCCTCCCCAGTTTAGTGCTCCCTGATTGACCCTGGGTTGATGGGATGCATTGCAAGGTGCTCCTAGCTCTGCCCTCCATCCTCACCGGCCCTCAGCACATTGAAAAGCACAAGCAAAACAAAAATTCCCTGACCAAGGAACCATGCAAGTGTGTGACCATGATTAAGAGGCTCCTTTTAACTAGATAATGGCAAATTCACAGATACCGATGGAAGCCCCACTGTTGCAAGGCTGCTCGCACCTGGGAGCTGAGCTCAGACGGTTGGAGCCTGATCCTCCTCCACAGGAGGAGCTGCCAAGTCCTCAGCAGCTCTTGAAAATGTGGTCACTCCATATAGATGGAAAGGTGGATTTAGGGGCTGAACTGTACATGCAGCCCCTTTCCCAGAAAAGTGGCTAGATTATCCTGCCTGTTGTTCCTAGAAATCTTTGGTATCATGTGTATGCAAGCGAGGAGCTGACACATGTTTCGGTTCTGTGTCCCTCAACAGGGTGGGAGAGGCCTGGAGAGCCATCCCAGAGCCTGCCCACAGGTTGGAGCAGGAGGACCAAGTGGGACCCTTGCACCCCGGGTTCCTCCTGTCCAAGACCTCTCCTGCCACCCGTCCCCGCCTGCTCACCTTGCCTGCGCTGCAGCCACCGCTGCAGAGGGTATGCGGCGCAGTCGCAGACCCAGGGGTTCCCTTCCAGCCGGACCTGCGGGACTGCCTCCATCAGCTGCAGGCTCAAAGCATCCACAGAGACCAGCATGTTGTGCTGCAGGTCCAGGTGGAAAAGAGCCTTCAGTGGCAGGAAGAAAGGGACCTCAAGCTCTTGCAGACTGTTGTTTCTTAGGAGCAGTGTGTGTAAGTTTCCCAAGCCCTTGAAAGCGTCCGTGTAGAGGTAGGCAATGCTGCAGCTGCTCAGGTCCAGCAGGCGCAGTGCCCCGAGGTTGGAGAAGGCTGCTGGGCTCAGCACCAGCAAGGCATTGCTAGAGAGGTTGAGGGAGCGCAGGGAAGGGAAATGTAGCAAGAGAGTCCCATGATGGGGCATGACCAAGTTGTTGAAGGAGAGGTCCAAACTGGTGATGTTGCTTGGAAGGGACCTTGGAGCATGCAGGAGGCTCTTCCCGTTGCAGTCGGCCCATCCCTGGGAAAAGAGCTGCCGTCTGAGATGGGGTCTCCATGCTGGGGAGGATCTCTAGACTGAGACTCCCCAGAAATTCAAATGTTTTATATAATTACTCTTGCAGAGTTTAAAAAAACAAAGACACAAACAGGTTTAAAAAGCACATGAGTTTGGTTTGGACCAGGATAAATGGAGAAGTATGAGCAGGACAGCCCAGGACTGAGAGCAGCCGACTGAAGGAGTAAAGGAGGAGTGTGAAGAGCTGGGGAGAAACCCAAACAGAAGGGGTGGGTGTGAAGGGACCAGGTTGTCACCCTCCTGTCCTCCCGTACAGGGCAGTTCTCATACAGGGTCAGCTTGCAGAGCGCCTTCCTCTTCCTCCCCCAGATCCCCACCTCCAGCCCCCGGGGAGCTCTTGCGTGACACAAGGTCGTCCTCCCAGCTGGGGCAGAGAAGCGGGCGAGACCCCTGCCTGCTGCGAGAGCGGGCGGGCAGGCAGGCAGCGGCA